ATATAAATAAAAATATAAGTAAAGAATATGTATAAATAAATCAATATAAATAAATATTAAATAAATCAATAAGTCAATGTAAATAAATCAAAATAAATAAGTAAATAAGCAAACAAATAAATAAATAAATGGAAGCCAAGATCCTTCAAGACCAGGCTGAGACAGGGACGCGCGCTCTACACCCACAGCACCAAGCACAGTGCTTGGTACACCCAGACACTAAAGAAATGCTTGTTAAATTAATGAGTGAATTCTACATAGTTTATACATGAACGCACTGTCCTTTCTTTTATCTAAAATCCAGCTGCAAAAGAATGTGGTCTTCTGGCCCCTTCTGGCCCCTCCCCCCCGGCCTTTCTTTACCTGCTGAGAGTGACCACCGGAGCACAGTTAGGTGTGGTCCAGGAGGAAAACTGATCCTGGGGCCCGGTGACGTTGGCCATCAGGAGGACGTTGGGAAGTGGCAAGGAGGGCACCGAGGAGGTCACCCCGAGGATCACAGTGGTAGACCCTTCATAGACATCCATCCAGCTTCCGGGCTTAGTGACCTAGAAATCAGCCCCAGGTACAAGGGTCAGAGAGAAGCAGAAGACAAGGGTGCAAGAAAAGAGGGGCTAGGAAGCAGCACTTCAACTTGGTGGCATGCTTGGAGCACCTGTGCTTCTCAAAGGTGTGTGGCACACTGGGCTGGGCCATGACCAGGATCCATCCTTCCTGTGGGTCTCCCCAAATAGACCAGCTCACTGGTAACAGGAAACTGTGTTGCTCTTCTTTGTGTCCTCTGCATTATCTAGCTTTAAAGATTTTATTTATTTATTTATTTATTTACTCACTTATTTATTTTATTTGAGATGGGGACAAAGAGAGTGGGGGAGGGGCAGGGGGAGGAAGATGGACAAGCAGACTCCTGCGCAGAGTGGGGAGCCCTATGTGGGGCTCCATCTCATGACCCTGAGATCATGACTTGAGCCCAGATCAAGAGTTGGATGCTTAACCAACTGAGCCAACCGGGTGCCCCTGCATTATCTAACTTTAAAAAGATGCATTAGGGGCGCCTGGGTGGCTCAGTCGTTAAGCATCTGCCTTCGGCTCAGGTCATGATCCCCAGGTCCTGGGATCGAGCCCCGCATCAGGCTCCCTGTTCAGCAGGAAGCCTGCTTCTCCCTCTCCCACTCCCCCTGCTTGTGTTCCTTCTCTCGCTATGTCTCTCTCTGTCAAATAAATAAAATCTTAAATAAATAAATAAATAAATAAATAAATAAATAAATAAATAAAAAGATGCATTGGTAAGAAAAAGCTGAAAGGCATTAAAATTTTATTCCTCCATCCTCGGGTAGAAGAAGCCAGCAAGGCTTCCAATGATCTGGAAGGGAGATTATGTAAAGAAAGTTCCAGAAGAGGAAGAGAGGGAGGAAAGAGCTGTTGAATGGGGAAGACCCAAGCAGCCCAATGTGAGGGAGGTTTGGAGAGCTTTCTGCAAGGTGAGGGAGGGCCCAGCTTGTTGCTGGATCTTAAGTGAAATAAGAACCTGTTCTCTTGCAACATCTGATGCTGGGGCAGGACAGGGAGACTGGATGCTTGGTACTAGTTTCAGCTAAGACACCCCCACCTCACTGTCCAGGGCAGGCAGAGAAGCCTCCAAGGAACCACAGGGACCAGGGTAAGGACATTTGAGGGGGGACCCCTATGTTCCCAAGACCAGAGGGACTTCTCCCAATGTTCTAGACTTTGTAGGACCATCAGAACCATTTCACAGCCATGGTGGAACTGGGGACAAGGGGAAAGCCCCAGGAAGGACTGAAATTTAAGTTCTCACCAAGCTGACTAGAAGGTGCTCCTAGAAAAGTGAGTTTTTATTTTGAAGGGAAAAAAAAAAAACATTTCTTGGAGCCCATGTTGTAGAATGAGATTCTTATGTATCATAAAACACAGGGGGCTGCATACATTGAGTAAGTGATAAATAAACATTTGTGGGTGATGTTTCTTAGAGGTGATGGCAGAGATTCTGAGGAGTGGGGAGAAAGGGAATCACCTAACTGTGTGGGTTGGATCCTTTCAAGTAAACTTTTTTAAAGATTTATCTATTTGAGAGAGAGGGAGCATGAGTGGGAGGGGCAGAGGGAGAGGGAGAGAGAATCTCAAGCAGACTCTGTGCTGAGCCCAGAGCCCAGGGTTGGGCTCGATTCCATGACCCTGAGATCACGGCCAGAGCAGAAACCGAGAATTGGATACTCAACCGACGGCACCACCCAGGTGCCCCTCAAGTAAACGTTTAACTCCCCCATGGGGCAGCTTCGGCAGGCAGGCTTTCCCCCTCCCTGGTATGGTCTGAGTTTCCTGCTGCCTGAATCACTACGTGTCCACCCAGAGAATCTTTTAATTTCAGGTCAAAGAGAACATATTCAGAGAATAAACCTCCTGCCAAAACATCACACCCCAATAGAAATGACTGGAATTTGGAATCTGGATTTCCCACGTCACTGCTCCTTCTCCACCGAGACTGTGTTAGGAAGGAGCACGCCCCCAGGTGGCCGGCTGATGGCCCCACTCCGCAGACCCCTGGGGCAGCGCAGAAACCAGGGAGCGTCCGGAGCCATGAACTGACTGGCTGAAATCTGAGGGACTTTGTCAGGGAGTAGCTCACTGTTGTGTGAAGGCATCTCCAAATCAAGCTCAGATCGTCTCCACTCTCTCCTGTAAGTCCTCGCTGCTTTGTGACTCCATCACAGGGATTCCTGACTGCAGACCCTCCCTGTGCACTTCAGCCTCCTGCCTTCGCCCTGGGACTTGAAGTCCCTTGGCCTGGAATGTCTTCCCCCTGCTCTTCACTTACCAAAGTCTCAGCGATACCTCAAAGAATGACTTAATCTCCCTCTTCTGGGGAGCCTTCTTCAACTGCTGAAGTCCCAAGAGTGTTCTGAACCCCCTAAACACTGGCACCCCCTCTCTCTGCTCATGCTTTAGGGATCAGCTGGTCCAAACCACCTGACAGAGCTTTCTTAGCAGTTACCATTTTATAACACACCCTTTAAATTGACAAAGTCATAAGCTCCTTGGCAGGGACACTATTGGATCTCTCTACATCTCCTGCCTCGCACGCAGCACACAGCTTGCCGACTGAGGAGCTGGTTCTGCCACATCTGCAGAGGAGCACGGGAGGTCCAGCTAGACCTCTAGAGGGAGGCGGGCAGACCCTCAATAAGATGTCATTTTTTTATTTTTTAAGTAAAATCTACCCCCAATGTGGAGCTTGAACTCACGACCCCAAGACCAAGAGTCTCATGCTCCACCGACTGAGCTAGCCACATATCCCAAGCTATGTTAAAATGACCGCCCCATACTCTCAATGGTCCCATGCTTCCCAGGCCAAAAATGCTCACTTCCATTGCCGTACCACCACCCTTTAGGGGATGTAGAATCTGGGCAAGGCGATTCTAGGGACTTGGCTCTCAAACAAGGCTATTTCTAAAGCATCCCAGAGAGAAGAGTTTGGACGTCAGAGCAGGGATTCTGACAGCAACCTTCATTCCCTCTAATGCACCATCCCCTCCCTAGTGGCCCTGGGAGGGTGCCTATGGACACTGCATGGAGACAGCTCTGATGTGCCCTTTTGCAGTGTGTAATTCTGTTTCCTGAAAGCGTACGCCCTGTGGGGAACGCCACGAGGCCTTAGGCACAAACGGAGCTGAACTTGGGATCCAGACCGTCTGGTTGTCTCTAGCCATAGCAGCTTCCTTCTCCTCCCAGAGCTTTCAGAGGCCACAGCATTTTTGGATCAACCCTCGGGAGCAAGTTTTGGAAAGGGAAAGGGAGCGGGCTCTGAGCTGCCATGCTGGTACCTGGATAAAATTGCTTTCAAACACCACCGAGTCGGAGAACAAGTTGAATTCTGGAGAATGAATCAGTTGACAAAGAAGGCCATCTTCCACCCCAAGTTCCACTCCAGGGCCTGGTTCCCTGACCTCTGGTGGGAGGCCCCTAATTTTACTCATCGGTTCTTGGGACAAACGGGCTGGGGACCATCTCTGGGGCTCCACGCAGACCCAGCCCAATTCCGAGGTGTTGGTGTGACCACTACTCCCCCCACCTCCACATCTCCACCTCCCCTGCAGACTTACAGGCTGTCCACCAGGCCAGGGAGGGCCTGTCGGCTCACAATGGCAGGCATGACATCAAGGAATGTGATGGCTAACAACAGGAAAGGAAAAATAGAAAAGTCAAGGAAGGATTGGGGGTGAGCAGGGCTTTTTTTCTCCCCTTTCCTATGCACTACACACTAGCAATAATGTAGTCTTAGTCCATTTTCCCTCAATCTCTCTGTAGCCATGAGGAAAATGACTGCCCCATGGTTATGCCAAGAGAGCAGTGAGCTGGCCAGAACAGCAAGGCAGGCTCTCAGGAAGCCCATAGCCTTCAATCCTCTCCCCCCATGGGGAAGCCCCTCACAAAAGCTTTCTCTGAGCGAACTGATCACCTAAAGTCAGGCCCTCACCTGGCCAGAGGAGCTCAGGACAGAGGCAAGCAAGTCACCCCAATCTTTCCTACCCCATTTCATGGGATAAATGAGAATTTTTTTTTTTTAAACCAGGCTGTTAACAAAGCCAAGAGGCTTATTTATTTGGAAACAGTGGGCAAATGAGGATGTGTGGCCTAGTGGTATGCCAGAGCCAGCGCAAAAGAGATTGTGAAAACTGTAAAATGTTCAGGAATTTTACAGGGCAGTTGTTAAACACAGCCATTATTAAAAATTTAATTATATAAACTATATAAAAATTTAATTATATAAACACAGCCATTATTAAAAATTTAATTATATAAAATTATATAAACATATATAACTTATTTAAACTTAAATAAATTATACAAAAGCAAAGGTAATGGTCCAAACTCATCTTCTTAATTACTACTCTCTAGAGGTTATTTACATCTATTGTCCCTACATGGTAGAAATACTATATAATGGAGCACTGCAACTGCCTATCTCTTCTCAGCATGTGTTCAGGAACTTCCTGTCGGTCACTGCCTTCAAACCAGCCGTGTTGAGAGTTATTTACATCATGGAGCCGGTAAATGCTACTCATCACGCCTTGATTTATTGTTTTGTTGGCTGTCTAAAGCTATAGAGAAAATGTTAATGATGCAGTAAACTTAAAAGTGTGTCTGTAGGGACGCCTGGGTGGCTCAATCGGTTAAGCGGCTGCCTTTGGCTCAGGTCATGATCCCAGGATCGAGTCCCACATCGGGCTCCCTGCTCAGCAGCGAGCCTGCTTCTCCCTCTGCCTGCCGCTCCCCCTGCTTGTGCTCTGTATCTCTCTGTCAAATAAATAAATAAAATCTTTTAAAAAAAAAAGTGTGTCTGTAGCTGTTGTATGGTAGGCACAAAAATATCTGAGGTGTCTCCCACTATATTGAAAGTTATCTGATTTAGCAAAGAAGTTGCTAAAGTCCCTGCTGAACATGTAAAGTTCCAACATATAACTTGCTTAGTTCTCTTTCTTCTTATTAATGTAAGTGGGAAAATCAGCCAGCCTTCATGTCAGAACTACACTTTGTCAGTTGTGTAGGTTGGCGAGGAATACAGGAGTTTGACAAAAAACAGTGAAAGATTTGTGAGAATCAACTGGCCATATGAAATGGACAAGAGTACTGTGTATTTTATTGTTAGTTGTGAATTGTGTGCTATACATTATGTCAGTCAATTTTTTTTTAAGATTTTATTTATTTTAGAGATAGAGAGAGCGAGGAAGTGGGGTGAGGAGCATGGGAGAGGGACAAGCATACTCCGGGCTAAGCACAGGGCCTGACGTGGGACTTGATCCCACGGCCCTGAGATCGCAACCTGAGCTGAAATCAAGACTCAGACGCCCAAGAGACTAAGCCACCCACGCGCCCCAATGTCAGTAAAATTTTAGAGAAAACATATATAACACATATATGTACATATATGTATATGTCTGTGTGTCTATATTACATATAATTCTATAATATAGAAAATTTTTAATTACTAATTATAGTAATAATATTGAATTCTAATATATATACTATGTATAGTAATTATATACAACATGTGTATTATGTATGATTTATTATATATTATATACATTCCCCCTCAGAGAGCTGGTGTCAAACATTTACTAGTATAGCATTGTAGTGGCACCAACCCCTTCCCTCCCCTTGCAATCTTCTGTTTTTGGTACCAGGACAAGAAACATCCACTCAAAGGTTTCTTCAGGGTGCGTGAAGTGGAGGAGCGGTGAGGTAAGAGTTATCCCTCTCTGACTGGACAGCTACCAGGCTCTTTCACTTTGGTGTTTATACAAGAAGCAAGCCAAGAAGGTAAGTCAGTTCCCCCATGTCTTTTAAACTCTCAAGACACACACTAGTGCAATCCTCCCGTGCCTGGGGTTAAATGTCCTGGTGCTTCTCTTAACATGAGGTGGGAGGCCTGCTTCTCACTGGTGTTTTTTCTAAAGCTGTTACATCAGAGGCAGAAGTTTACAACTTAGTGGCTAATTTCTTCTTCTACTTTTTTTTAATATATTTTTTAATATTTTATTTATTTATTTATTTGAGAAGAGAGAGTGAGAGAGAGCACAAGATGGGGGAAGGTCAGAGGGAGAAGCAGACTCCCTGCCGAGCAGGGAGCCCGATGCGGGACTCGATCCCGGGACTCCAGGATCATGACCTGAGCCGAAGGCGGTCGCTTAACCAACTGAGCCACCCAGGCGCCCCTTGGCTAATTTCTTCTTAAGTCTTGATCATTAGAAAACTTTTATTTTTATTGATACAAAATCTATGATACTGGAAATTCAAATATTCAAACAATCTTCAAGGTCATTATTTTTCCTTTATCACGGTATTTTTTTTTTTAAGATTTTTATTTGTCAGAGAGAGAGAGCGCACAAGCAGAGGTGGCGGCAGGCAGAGGGAGAAGCAGGCCCCCCACCAAGCAAGAAGCCAGATGCAGGACTCTATCCCAGGACCCCAGGTCATGACCTGAGCCAAAGGCAGACACTTTACTGAGCCACCCAGGTGTCCCAGTACTCTGTTCTTGACATTTTTTCTCCTTCCCTTGTAAAAGGTTAATGTCCATCAGTAGAGCACCAGTTAATCTATGAAACTTCCATACGATGTAATGTTTTGCAGCCATTAAAGGAATAAGGCAACTTTATATATACTGATATGGAATGATTACTGAGACCTATAAAGTTAGAAAAAGATGAAGAACAGTATATATAAATTGCTATCACTTGGATAAAAAGTATATTAAAAAAGAATATATACTCATATATGCTTGAACACTCCCAGAAAATTTCTGGAAGGATAAAAATGTGGTTGCCCTAGGAGGGGTAGGGCATTGGTAATGGTGGTGAAAAAGGACTTATTTTTCACAGTATACTTTTTGTACTGTTTAAATTATTTACCATGAACTGTATTTCTTTTAAATAAATTTTAAAATAAAAAGTGTGAAAGAAATTGCCTACATATGGCTCTACAGATATTTGCTGAGAAGTAACTATGTACAAGATAAACTTTTGGAAGGATCATTATTAGCTCTAAAAGTGGTCTGTCCAAAGTTGTGAACATGTGGTCACGGTTGTATTGGACATACTGTGAGTATGTCCAATACTGAGTTAAAGATATATATTTGAAGAAATAAGGGCTGGAAGATTTCCAAATAATAGTAAAAACTATAAACCTACATCTACACAAACAGTAAGTAACTACTAGAAATTGTAAATACGTAAGTAAAAATGTTAAATATGTATACATATAATTTTTAAAGTTCTTTAACAATTGACTATTTAAAAATTCTAATAATGTATTAGGTAACATTAGGTTTAGAACATATGTATAAGTAAAATATATGACAAGAATGGCACAGAGGATGAGAGGGGAAAATAAGGTGTAGTATTGCAAGGCTCTTACATTATACATGAGGTGGTAAAATACTATTCGAAGTTAGACTGTACTAAGTTAAAAGATGTCTATTGTAAATCCTAGAGTAGAGGAACCATTAAAAAAATTAAACAGAGGGGGCGCCTGGGTGGTTCAGCCTTTAAGCACCTGCCTGCTTGGCAGGAGGCCTGCTTCTCCCTCTCCCACTCCCCCTGCTTGTGTTCCTGCTCTCGCTAACTCTGTCAAATAAATAAAATCTTAAAAAAATTTTTTTTTTAAACAGAGATGTATAGCTACTAAAGCAATAGTGAAGATGAAATAGAACACTGAAAACTTCACAATTAATCCAAAGAAGGTAAGAAGAAAAACGGAACAGCGAACAGATGGGAAACAGAAAATAACAAGATAGAGAAGATTTAAACCCAACCTTATAATTACACTAAATATAAATGGCCTAAACAGTCCAAATAAAAATGAGATGTTGCCAATATGTATAAAAAGCAAGGCACAACTATATGCTATCTACAAGAAATCCACAATATATAGAGACTCATAAGTTAAAAAGACAGAGTAAGATAAACTTTGCAGCCACCAATGATAAGTCAGCTAGAGTAGCTATATTAATATCATACAAAGAAGACTTCATGGCAAGGAATAATACAAGTGATGAAGAAGTACTTTTTTTCTAAAGACTATTTATTACTATTTATTATTTATTTTGAGAGAGAAAGAGAGTGTGTGCATCCAAGTGCGGGGAGGAGCAGAGGGAGAGAGAAAATCTTTTTTTTTTTTTTAAGATTTATTTGACAGAGAGAAAGAGAGCGAGCACAAGTAGGCAGAGCAGCAGGCAGAGGGAGAGGGAGAAGCAGGCTCCCCACTGAGCAGAGAGCCCGATTTGGGGCTCTACCCCAGGACCCCAGGATCATGATCTGAGCTGAAAGCAGATGCCCAACTGACTGAGCCACCCCGGCTCCCTGGGAGAGAGAAAACCTTAAGCAGATTCCACACTGAGCTCAGGGACCTATGTGGGGCTCGATCCCAAGACCCTAAGATCGCGACCAGAACTGAAATCAAGAATTGGACACTGAACTGACTGAGCCACCCAAGCATCCCAAAGAGGGACACTCTTTAAATTCAATTAATTAACATATAGTGTATTATTAGTTTCAGAGGTAGCATTCAGTGATTCATCAGTTGTATTTAACACCCAGTGCTCATTACATCATGTGCCCTCCTTAATGCCCGTCACCCAGTTACCCCATTACCCCACCTCCTCCCCTCCAGTAACCCTGTTTGTTTCCTATGATTAAACGTCTCTTATGATTTGTCTCCCGCAAAGAGGGACATTTTTAAAAGGAGGTCAATTTAAGAAGACAAAACAATCCTAAATGTATATGTTATCTTCAATAACAGAGTTTCAAAAAACATGAAATAAAAACTGATGAAACTAAAAGGAAAAATAGATAGAGTTGGATATCTTATCCTTTCTCTCTCAGAAATTCATAGAACAAGTAAATAGGAAATTAGTAAGGATACAGAAGACTTAATAACTACGAACTAAATGTATGTAATTTTTTTTTTTTTTGAGAAAGAGCGTGCACGCAAGCTGAGGGGAGAGGAGCAGAGGGAGAGAGAATCTTAAGCAGGCTCCTTGCTCAGCACAGAGCCCAATGCAGGGCTCGATCTCATGATCCAGAGATCATAACCTGAGCCAAAATCAAGAGTCAGATGCTCAAGCAACTGAGCCACCCATGTGCCCCATTCTATGTAGTTTTTGTAAAAAATTTTTTTGTATTTTGCATACTTTCTATAAAAAATATTTTGTACACTTTTCTGTAAAACACAGAACACTCAGAACCCATAGAATCCACATTCTCTTCAAGTGCACATTGAACATTCACTAAGATATACCATGTGCTGAGCCATTAAAACAAGTCTCAATAAGGGCGCCTGGGTGGCTCAGTTTGTAAAACGACTGCCTTCGGCTCAGGTCGTGATCCTGGAGTCCCAGGATCAAGTCCCACATCGGGCTCCCTGCTCAGTAGGGAGTCTGCTTCTCCCTCTGACCCTCTTCCCTCTCGTGCTCTCTATCTCTCATTCTCTCTCTCAAATAAATAAATAAAATCTTAAAAAAAAGTCTCAATAAATTTCCACTAATTAAAATTATACAGGGTATGTCCCCTGACCATAATCAATGAAATTAGGAGCAATGAAATCAATGAAAGGAAAATATTTGGAAAGTATCAAGGGATTTGGAAATTAAACAACCTACTTCTGAAGTTAAATTTACTTTATTTTTTTATTTAATTTTTTAATTTTTTTAAACTTAAAATTTAAAAGAACAGTTAAATTTGTAAAAATTGAGAAACGTATAGTTAGTGAGATCTAGAAAATGATATTGTCTAAGTTACTGAGTTTCCTTCTGTTTCCTCTGTAGTAAAATGAAAAGATCTATGCTGTCCAATACAGTAGCCACTAGCCACAGGGCTACTGAGCACCTGAAATGCGGCTAATCTAAATGAGATATGTTCTAAGTGTAAAATGCCAATACAAATAAATACTTAGTACCAAAAAATGTAAAATATCTACATATCTCATAAACAACTTCTTAGGTTGATTACATGTAGAAATAATATTTTTAGTATATTGAGTTAAAGGTGTTTAAAATATCTTTTCCTGTTTCTTTTTAATGTAACCATTAGAAAAGATTTAAATTACATATATGGCTCGCATTATATTTTTATTGGACGGTGTTAAGACTAGATCAAATCTTCCAGGCCTTAATAATCTGGTATCTATCGTAAGCTTTAAAGGCAGGGCCCTTCAAATCTGGAAAGCATTACAACCACACATAGTGTTTCCTTCTTCCTTAGACTCCACTAGATGGCGCTAGAGCTAAGGCCTCAAGCTAGTAACCGGGATTTAAGGTTTGTACTTGCAGCTTTCTAAACATGCTGTACTTGGGCCCCTCTCCACATCCTTGCTCAAGGTTCCCTCTAATAGAGAACTCTTTCCAAACGTGGTTACCTGTTCATTTCTTAAAATTCAGATCCTCTAGGAAGCTTTCCTTTTACCATCTGCCTCCTGCCAGCAGATAACTTTATGTACCCATGTCCTATACACGTTTCTATCACAGAACCATGAAACATTATTGGTTTGTTTACATGTTCCCCCCCAACACACTGTCTAACGCATGTTATCTGAGGTAGGTAGTAATGAAATCTTAAGTCAATGTGCAGTAGCTGGTAGGTGCTGAAGGCAATGTATCAGTCAGAATAGGCCAAGTGATGCTGCAGGAGCTTAACACAACAGAGGTTTCTTTCGTATTTACACTACATGTTCATCAGGGATCGGTCAAGGGTTCCACTCCATGGCATCCTCACTCCAAGACCTACATTAATGGTTAGAGTTCCATTTGGAGCACTGCTGGTCACTGTAGTGGAGGGAAAAAGGTTAAAGGTTTGGAGGTTTTTGACCCAGTGCTCCAATCTAGAACCTAGGTGTTCCAATCTAGAATTGACACAAGTCACTTCTACTCACAACTCTTTGGCCAGAACTAATAGAACTAATTCATGGCCTTGTCCAACCACAAAGGTGTCAGAAAACATATCGAATTTAAGTAGTATGTTCTAGGATAGCTACTGGCACGAAGTGCCTGAAAATCAGAAATAAAAAGCCAACTATATCTTTCATTGTACTGTGCTGAGATGAGCCACATAATCCCCGCCATCCACAGAGGATGGGGGAGCCGGACTGTACATGCCCAGAAGGTGGGAAGCTGGAAATACTTGCTAAACAGCACTAGTGACCATCATAGTGCAATAAACAGAAGTGATGCCCAAACCATCGGCTTCTAGAGTAGTGGCACTTAGGCTCAAGAACAACAACTCAGGAAGCAAAAGTGGCTTTGTAGAGGCACCATACCATTCGTACCCTTTGGCAAAAGTAAATCAAGTTCCCCATACATAAAATGACACACACCAAGAGTGTGTGAACGGATACAT